CAAAGACGAAAGGACGGTAACTTTAAGCCGATAAAGTAAGAATAGTTGGTAAAGAAGAGAGAACCTTGCCTGTGGTCAGTGTTTGGATTACACGCTAGACGGGAGAAGCGATTGCTCTCTTCCTCTCTTTCTCGGATTTAAGATTACGGAGAAGTTGAGTCTCTCGGAGCTGAGCTACTTCGGAGTCAAAGAGAAGAGAAAGAGAACTTTATTACGGGTGTATAATGATAATACGTGCGCAAAAGATTGATCGAATTAACATGACAAGGACATGACACAACTGAACGTGGATAGGTTGAAGAAAACAGAATCTTTGATTACGAAGCGAATTTGTTTAATAAGAACCACCAATTCTGTTTTCTAAAACGCATTTGTTTAGATAGATAACTGTATATAAATTTGGCACTAAATTCATTAACAAATTTTTTATGACTAATTCATATTCTATGACTAATTTTATGACTAATTATATGACATTCATATTTGTATCAATTGACTGTCCTTTCATTTCATACGTGTTATTTATATTTTAAGAATTGTGGAATGTGTTATTAAAAATTTTGCTATGTTTCTAATGAAATTTGCTATGTTTCTAATGAAATTTGCTATGTTTTTAGCAAAATGTATCATATTTTTGAGCACTTATCATATTGCTGTCTTACTGACAATCTCTATACATTCCTGTACGCTCAGAGAAAAAGATATAATGATAGCAACTCCTATATAGATGACTTTTGTACATAGAATTAATGTGTATATAGTTTAATAAGCTATTTTATAATTATTGCAACTAAAAATCTTTAGTTTTATTTTTTTTTTCTATCTTTCTCTGAGTGTGCACTACTAAAAACATAGTAGAATTAGAAATAATTTATATATGAAAAAAAACAATAATGTCCTCTCCGTGTACGAAAAAAATAATTTACTCAAAATAATATTACCATACAGAAATATAAAAAGATGAGCGTTACTTTTAGCTAATTTGTTGCTACATAAAAATATAATATATTTTTAACATAACAGAAAATTTTTTACATTATTATATGATGTAAATTTTTAACGAGTAATTTAATTATTGTATTTGCTTCATGAATGTAATAAAGAAAATTGTAAATTATCGAATGCTTCACGTCATAATAGTTCTGAAAATCTATTCGGGTAATTGTGTGTGGCACTGTCACATTAATTAATTCAAGCAATCTTTTTTTTCTGTATGTGATTATAAGTTTAATAACTCGAGCGCAATTGGCCTTTTTCTCTTCTTTTACACATAAAAATGTTATTCACTGTGGCACGCTTTTCAATTTCCACAATTCTATAATTACGCGAAATCCGAGCTACGCTATTATACGCATTCGCGTACGATACGTTACAATATGTATATCGCGCTGGTAAAAAATATATAACCGATTGTACGCGCGTGCTATTCATACGTTCTCTAAAATTGGACTAATTTAATTTATTGGTAATTCGATATAACACAGCCGTTCGACTTTCGGCCGGAAAACCGCAGGCGCTTTCACAGCGCTATTTAAAAATGAAAGCCCCGCGCGATGTTTGTTGCACGGCACGGCTTACAAAAATAACACTCGCATTATCGACTCACTGAATCGATCAAACTACAGCATGCTCACAAAGAGGCATACAGGCTATTCCGATACAACCGATATTTAATTTCACGCCCACACAGTTACGATTTGCCAATCTTACGGCGCGAAATTCCTCCCATTGATATCCTAACCTCCCATTGATATTGTCTCGTTTTACTCGCAACATTACAGCTTAAAAATTTTATTCATCAGGATGTGTTTTTTCATGGCGCCCAAAGGACGCATCAGAAATGGTACTCATAAATTCACTGTTTATCGAACAAAACTATATGTTTTTGTATATTTGTTTCACTATTAGAATGATAAATATTAATTCAAAATTAATTTTATGGTACTATTTTGTCATATCTCACTCGGCACAATACTACTCAAAACATAAAGCAACAGTTTCCTGGCCTACAATTGATCACTACACAAAAACAGTGTAATGAATACTATTCTGTTCGTTTCCTAATATGCAATATAACAGTATAACAGTATGTTATACCAGTATGTTATAACAGTATGTTATAACAGTATGTTTTATAACAGTATGTTTTTTAGTATTATTACTTTTTACGAAATTTTTTTACGCTGGAATAATATACGAGGGTGGTCTGAAAAGTTTCCGACCTAACAAAGATACAAGTCATTTTTTCTGAAAATTG